GAGAAAAGAAAGAACCAAGATCAGCTTTTGCAATGAAAGTGAAAATCTCAGCGGATGAGCTGATTTCATTTCTATACCTATACCTTCTGCAGGTTGATAATCCTACCGGCCCATCAAATTATGTGCATTATTCGTCAGAGCAGATAGGTTAGACAGGCCACTCTGGGGTCGGAACCGATTCTGATATCTTATCTTGGAATCTTCAAAAGGTCACTAGGGTGGCTACATGTGCCTGTAGCTTGGAAGTAAGGTGGTTGAGCCACAGTGGAAATATCCGATCGTTTTCCAAAATCGGCAGCAATTAATAGTCTTTCATGAATCAAACTGCTGTGACACTGACACGACCGCTGGACTGTCGCCTAACTCAACAATTACTAGGAGAATGCAGACCTGATCTAACATCGACCATCTACTACGACAATCAGGCTGTTTCGATTTGACCTCGGAAAGATCTACTAAAAGGCAAGTAATGTATGTGTCTGGTATATTTAGATGGTAGCAAATGTGTCATTTAAATGCATCAAGATGCCGAGCGCACGAACACATTTGTTGATTTAGACTCTTCTTAGCAAACGGGTCTGCAAAACAGAGAAGGGTGGTCAGTTGGTTATAACCTACTGCGTGCGCCACAAGAGGAATCAAATAGATTTACTGGGTGCACACGGAGTGTCTGGCGATCTAGTCCTTACTGCCCAGAGAAGAGTTAATCTTCTTCCGTGTGCTCTCCATCGGAAATAGAAAAAGCCAATCACCTTTGGCGATGGAAGCATGACATGTTGTCTTCTTAATGACATATAGGAAGATGCAGTAGATTCCCTACCTCAGGAAACTAAAATTATTAAGAAGAATTTGGGATCTGAACAAATTGATTAACAAGGGTTGTACCTCTAAGCGTCTTTCAGATTGATCTCAACATAATTCAGGTTCATCAAAATTTCGGCCTTTCCATTCGCCCTTGTCTTTAGCAGCAATATTATCTGCCTAGACCACTAGCCGCTACGGTTGCTTCCTGGGCCAGAGACAGGAGAACCAAGGCTGATCGGGACAAGTGAGTTCCATTAACGGTCAGTCAATATCTCCCAACCTTAACCGAGAAGACAAGGAGCTCCTGGCTGAATGTTTAGAGCGTTAGACTCTGATGGAAACGTTCGCGATTCCGAGCCTTGGGTGGTGCATCACTTGAGGTTGGATATGAATGGCTGACGGCAGCTAATAAGTCAGAAATGGCCATTCCATTTGCCAGAAATACTATCTACACTTGTGTCTTCGTACAGATGTAAATGTCAAGGTAGCAAAAACTCTCCGGCATTTCAATGATAATACCTACCTTCGACGGCTGTGACGTCGGCTTTTTGTAAGACGTTCTCAAAGGCCTGTGTTTCAAAAATGGCCGAGGATTCGTCGAGGTTCTTCACATTCTCTTCTACTTTCTGCATCTGAAGGACATCTAAAATGCATGCGCGACATGAATGCAGACGTTCAGACAAGTTGAGGTTCATCGACGATATTACCATATACATTATAATGTGTATGCCATCCGTACTCGCGACCAGAAACCGCGGCCCAGTTCCCGTACAAACATGCAGGCTGTCACGTCAAGGTCACACGCCACAACTCCAGGAACGCGCGTAGGCGACACACAATGAGAGGGCGTGAGAATGGACGTGGCGTAGGCATTGACCACTCACAAGTGCGAATCCCCCTCCCACCCCCATTTGCGCGTGGCTAACTCTTGCCGTTTCTCACTTTCTCTGACGATGGCTTCTCGTGTGGTGTCGAAAGCTCAGACGAATAAAATTACCGTTCCAGAGATCGCGTTTTCTGCTTCTTTATAATGCACATGTTTCAGAATGTAGCCATCCCGGTTGATGCCTTATGCAACCTTTTCACCCTAAGTGTATATGGTGCAAGGCTAATAGTAATGTTACTTAATGTTACATTATTATGTGTATAATGCTAGCGCGAACTGGTACTCAGACAAATTTCACCTGAAGCCGTCACTGATTGCCAACCACATGATGCACAGTATTTACTGTGTAGATGCACATTACAATGTAGGAAACGTTTTGCGGCATTTAAACGATAATACCTACCCTCGACTACCGTAACGTTGGTTTTATGTACAAGGCCGTCCAAAGCCGCTGTCTGGAGGATGACGGAGCACTCGTCCACAGACTCCTCTGCGCAATGCAGTCGAAGGTCATCTAAAATTCATGTGCGACATAAATGCACGGAAGCTGAACCTCAGGGGACTAATTTACGGTCGCGCTGGGCAACACATGAAGTTCTCATAGCCGTCAAATCAACCAGAAAGGATTTTAAACAAGAGAGAGAGAGAGAGAGAGTACCGATTAA